ATAGTTCAAACTGAATAATTCAAAATATTAGATACAGTTTCAAATATGAATACAGTCAGGCACTAGATTATGTTCAGACTGATTAAAGAGCATGGGAAACAAATTGTAAGCACACAGTAGCATGCATCAGTACAAAATATACAGCAATATATACAATATTTGGATTGCATATAAATTATTGAATTTTAAAAAAAATACATTAAACCAGCACTGTTCTTTTCCCTTAGATGCTGAATTAACAAACTTCTACTGTGTGTGTCTGTGTGTACATGAGCACAAACACACACTACTGTGAGATTTCAGTTATATGTAAATGTGCTTACGCTTTCCTCATAGAGCACATTTGATCCATGTCACTAATTCATGCTTCCAATTATACAATTATGAATTATTTACATACTCAGATATAATACTGTTCTGGAAAAAAAAAAAATGTTTTTCCTATTTTTGAAAAAATACATTGTGTTCCTAGTTGTACTTCAAGCACTGAATTCGAACCTGTATTTAGTTTTTTTCTGTCAGGGATAGTTTATGAGTAATCACAATTTTATTTTTTCTTTATGTTTCTGATATAGTGCAGGACACATTAGCTGAAATTCAAGAAACAAATCAGCTTTTTTATGATGTTATTAAGTTCATCACATTTAAGAGAGGTTGGGATCTAACATATAACACATTACTCTTAGTGTATTTGCTTTGTAGCATTTATTTCACATGAGTAATTACAGAAAATTGACAAAAAATGAGCCACCATATAGTAATGCATGTCACTTTTTTCTCTTTTATTGAGAATCTTTCTTCTCTCAAATGATATTTCATCAATAATCTGCTAACATAAAAAGTACCCATTCCCTTCATAACGCCTTTCTATAGTAAAAATGTCTTTATGGAATCTTTCGCCATTTTCATCCAATATGTCACTACAACTCTCTGTGAAGTAGTCCAGATGAGAGTCTATCATATGTACCTTCAGAGACATATTGCACCCCAGATCTTGATATGCTTTGATCATGTCATTCGCCATTGCTTTGTAGTTGGTAGCTTTTCTTCTTCTGAGGAAGTTTTCTGATACCATCTTGAAACACTCACATGCTCTCTTTTCTTTGGCAGTTAAATGTGCTTCAAAATTTGCATCTTTCTGCAGCTTCTTGATTTGCAGGCCCACAAATACACCTTCCTTTATTTTTGCAACTGAAAGATGGGAATTTGTCAGCTAGATAAGCAAATCCACTGCCTGTTGGATCCATGGCCTTTACAAATTGTTTCATTAGACCAAGTTTGATATGAAGTGGTGGAAGTAGGAGCTACCAGACTTTCACATTGCACATTCTTTTTGCCCACTTTCCATCTCCGCTTAGGCCATTTCTTTTTCACATAGTGAGAATTTCTGTCATGACTATCCCACTTGCAAAAAAAAACATGCATACTTCCTGTAGCCTTGTTGCATTCCCAATGTCATAGCAATTACTTTGAAGTCTCCACATATTTTCCATTTGTATTCATTGTATTGTAATGAATTTAGCATCCTTTATAAGAATTTGTAATTCTCTTTAGTCAAGCTGGCATAAGCAACTGGAACAGAGGGAATTTTATTTCCATTGTGGAGCAAAACACCTTTGAGACTTGTTTTTGACGCATCTATGAAAAGTCTCCACTCCTGTGAACTGTAGGTGAAGTTCAACACCTTCATTAGGCCAGCAACGTCATTGCAAAATGTCAGTGCTTCATCAGTTGCAAAATAAGAAATAAAGGCATGTTCTCTGTGCCTAAACTCACTGATTTTAGTACTTTGGTGGAGTAGATTATACTTTTGTAATCTCGAACCAAGCAGTTGCGCCTTTTGTTTACTTAGTCCTAGATCACGCACTAAATCATATAAATCTGCTTGTACAGTAGAGCCTCGAAAACTCTGCACTCGATAACCTGGCACTCCAGATAACTCGGCCACACCCTGGCAGGGCAAAAAAAATCCTTAGTTAATTAATTTTTATGATAAAGACAGCTTTATGCCTCATAAAGTATTTTTCTGAGGTCTGTCTTATCAGGTAATGTACAGTGTATCCATTAATTTTCATTTTCATGTAGTAAAGGCTCTATGTCTTCATAAAAGACGTACTTTTCCTTTGTTTAAGGGTATTTGGGCAGTTTATTTTCTGTTGTATTCTCAAGTAAACAATACATATAAGTACAGTTCAGTATTTTCTGAGGAAACAGTCATACTTATTTTTTTTAACTCCATTCCCGATAACCCGGCATTTTCAAAAACTCGGCCACCCTTCGGTCCACATCTTTCGAGGCTCTACTGTATTAGTAAATGTGGCGATGACTCACTTGTGCAGTGATATGGAGGATCATCTGTTTCAGTACATGTGATTTCTTCAGCACTACTTACTTCACTATAACTCTGAATTTAATCTGGAGCTCTTGAAGGTACTGGAAGGCTGTCAGAATGCTGCACTGGCATTCTCACTGAAGGTAGATCTGGATAAACAATATGTCTCTTTGATTTTTTGTTAGTAAAACCCTGAATTTTTGTTAGACAGAAATAACAATCAGTAACGTGGTCCTTTGGCTTCCTCCATACCATGGGCACAGTGATCAACACCATGTTCTCTTTACCTTTCCACCATTGAATTAGTTTGCAGTAACATGTAGCACAACAGAAATGTGGTGCCCATTCCTTATCTTGGTCTCCTACCTCTATTCCAAAGTAATGTTTATATGCTTTCTTTATGACTGCTGAAATTTTCTTCCTATTTCTGGCAAAGGTGAATTTCCCACAAATGTAACAGAAGTTGTCTGGCTTATATTGACATCTATGATGACATGGCATTTTGTGAAAATTTAAAAATACCTCTAATAATACATCTATACTACATTAGTACTAGATAACTAGAGAAACACTGATGTGTAAAAACAAGCACTTAATATATCTTCAGAACCAAACTAAATCAGTTTAAACACAGGATGTTATAAGTTTAACGGTGCTCGGAAATATGGTAAAGACAGTTTCTTGTCAGCCAAAATACACACTTGTTAAGATTGACACTAATTACAGTTAACACTACTGTTGTAACATCGCTGCACCTGCCTCTGAGACACATGAAGCTTTACTGCCAAGTCAGCGACCAGCTGTAAAGCTGGTCGCTGACTTGGCAGCTGGTCAGAGTCAGCGACAGAGTCAGCGACTCTGAGTCAGCTGTCAGAGTCAGCGACAGAGCTGACTCTGACAGCTGGTCGCTGACTCGCTTTACATGCTCGAGCTAATGAGTGATTGCAGGTGGTCTTAACTACAGATGTGTGGCAGGGAATAACCCACTGATGTCTACCTCGCTTCCCACCTGCTGTTGAACAAGAAATTGTCACGTTTGATCACTACTGGATGCGGCAACATACACATATCTCTCTATAAAGTCCCTATGTTTGTCATGAACTGTGAATATTTACATATATATACACATTACACAAAAAGTATCCCTGACAACGAACTTCTGTTTCCAGATTAAAATTTCCCATGATAAATTGGTTTAGAATCACGCACTTTAATATCAGAAATAGAACCCTTGTCAAACAGTGTAATTAAAGTAGGTTATGGACCGTGGTAAACTTTTAGCATAGCATGTGAAGTGAGTGCTTATCTTTTATGGCATTGTATATTATTTAATACAAATATGTATTCATACATGAATACAGTAGAGCGTCGTTTATCCGAATCAATTGGGAATTGGGGTTGTTTGGATAACTTATTTTTCAGATAACCGATTATGTACGAAAAAATACATTAACCTATCCCATGTTGAAATTTTGCTCCGTTTCGTGTCGCTTCGCATTGAATTTTCATCGATGTTAAGCCTAATGTAAACTTTTTAAAATAATAATCGTGGCTATTGTATCGTTAAAAATTATTTCTTTTTTTTTACAAACAAAATAAATATATTGAAAAATATAAAAACAAAAGAAATTATACTTTAGAAGTTAATCTAGTATCAAAAAACGTTTGATTCAGCATGACAGACAGTCCCGAGAAAAACACTACACAAAAGTGCCAGTGCTGCCAGCTAAAAAACACACATCAAAAAAAATATTGGAGTAGCCCAAGATATAGCCAAAGATTGCAGCTCCACAGCACTAGCGAAAATTTAAATTTGCCAACCGGAATTCTTTCGGATAAACAACGCTCTACTGTATATACATGTGTTTGTGACTACCAACCCTACAACCATCAAATGAAGTAAAAATTTCTTTATTCAAATGTTTTCAATCATCTTAAATGCTTATCTTTGGAAAATTTCATTCTAAAAGAATGAACATTCAATAGTTTTTCTATTTTTCAAAACTTGTTTCGTCAAATGCATTCTGTAAATCAAATACATTCTAGAAGAACTGTTAGGCATTCATTTTTTTAGAATGTAATTTCCTGAAGATGTTTAAGATGATTGAAAACATTTGAATAAAGAAATTATTACTGCATTAGCTGGTTGTAGGATAGGCAGTTGTACAAATGCAATTCCTAAAGGAGTAATAAGTTTGTGTGGTGTATATGTATCATAAACAGTAAAGTATCATAAACAGTAAGCAGTTACCTAAATTGCTGCACCAAAAATTTGTTTTAGTCTGTAAACTGCTTTTTATTATTTAAGTATATAAACAATTTATGTATTCTTAAATGTAAGTGTAAATTAGAGATATGGATTGAACTCTGAGGGAAAACGTGCATGCATACTAATCATATTACAGTTAGTACTGTTCTGTAATGAAACTTGTGATTTTATAACAGTATATAAAAATATAACTTTGCACATTCTACAGGACTCCAGTTCAGAAAATGCTGGTGTAATACACTGCAAATATATTGTTAATTCTGTAAAAATTCTGCTTACATGATCTTATATAATTGTACATCTAATTAAACCAACTTAATTGTTAGGTTAATTATTTTAAAAAGATTAAATCATTCTACACAATGCTAGAAACACTAATTATTTAAATGTATCATTCAGGTAAATTATTTGACAAGATCATCAGAATATGAAATTACTCCTAAATTAATTCCTGGAAAAATAAGAATCATACTGTCACATGTGCCACTTACTCCTATTCCAAGTTATTTTGTAAAAAAGGTAAGCAAAATCTCAAAACAGTATAAAAATAATTTGAAGTTGAAAACATTCTGGAAGTGAGTAGATTTTTTTTTTTTTATTGTCTCTGAAGAATTAAGAAATATTTATGCTTAGAAAAAAATTGCTAAATGTGTTACAAATTAAAATTTTTTATATTTTAATATAAATAGATTTTATATTAATGATATTCAATTATAATTTAAGAAATTCTGGCTAATTACTAACTAAACTCTCGATATATATTAATATTTTCTTTACGAAACGATTTCGATTTGGAGAAATTTTTTTAAAGTATCTTTAGTTCTATATATGGTAGAAAACACAATCTTATTTTTGGAATTTAAATAGGAGATTGGTGTCATGCAATAATTCTAAAATATTTTAACAAATAATTAATAGTTTTAAATAGTTAAAGTAATTCTGTAACCATCAAGTTATGGTTAAAGAATTAGTTTGAAAAGATGATTCAATTTTTATTCTGCTAAATTATCTAAAGAACATTTTTTAATTATTAATGGTGAATAATTATCAATGGATGTGTACGAAGTGTTTCCAATAGAGACAGAATGTTTTATAGATTTTACATTGGAGGAGATAAAAGAAGCTATTAATCGTTTTAAAGCTGGTACCTTACCTAGAATTGATTTTATTAGAACAAAATATTTAGTGTCTTTCAGACACTTTAAATATTTCACTTTCAGAGTTAAAGTGGAAATTTTTTAACTCTGTTAAGAGAAATTCTAGTTTTCCAGAAGCATTAATTGAATCTTTGATTATTCCAATATATAAAAAAAGGCAATGTGTATGACCTCAAAAATTATCAACCTATATCTTTGGTTTCCTGTAATTGGGAAACTGTTTACATCTTTATTAAATAAAAGACTAGAAAACTGGATCCTTAAGTATATTTTGTCTGGAGCAAGCAGGTTTTCCACCTGGCCAATCTTGTCAGGACTAAATATTTGTACTAAATGCATTGGTTCAATCAAAACTGCAGAAAAAAGAGAGGGAAAAATTTATTTATATCTGCCTTTGATACTGTTAATTATAAAGTTTTATAGTCTCTATTAGAAAGAATGGGCATGAAGAAACAGTTTTTGCAAATCATACCTAAATTCAAAATTTCCAGCAAATAAAAATCAAAAACACATATCGAATGTTTTTGGCCACTAAATTTATCGGCCTTCCTCAGGAAATACCAACTGGAAAAATTGTTCTATAAATAGAACTTAGCTGCCTTTTAAATTTTTTAAAAGAATGAAAACAGCTGTGACATATTGTGTATGACGTATATTATGAGTCTAGATAGCGTTTCCACGTTGATGATACCGGAATGACATCCGTGTTGATGCAGTTTCCACTCATGCTCACCTTGTAGATCTCTACTGCTTCTACAATTTTTATATTTTGCATGTCGAAAACCATGTGTATTAGCTTGGCCTGGTCCCAACAGGGGGAAATCCCCGGATCACTGGCATACCGTGCTAAAGCTGTACTGATGTTACCTTTTAGTACGTCATATTTGTGTATTTGTGATCTTTTAGTCTGGCTTGCAGCGATCTGTATGTGGATCCTATGTAAGCTAATAATCTGTCAAACCTCTTGTCATATATGGGGATGTGGTAAATCCCAGGAGCCAGAGCGTCTTCATTGTTGTCCTTCGCATTTGAGAGAAGGCGGAAAACAGTGGGTTTCCTTCTATAGGCAAGGAGTACATTTAAACTATTTGCAATCCTTCTATATATGCGATGTAGTGTCGGTTCATAGTCTAAGATCACCTGTTTTGCTTCTGCTTTGTTAACCCTGTTAGATGACTGAGTTAGATGTTTGGATGCCAGATTGTTGATAAACATGCGGCCATACCCGTGGTTGTAATCTACTTGTTTGAGATGTTCCAGCTCCTTGTTGGTACCAGACAACTGTGTAGAATGGGAGTAAGCTCTGGCCACAGGAGTGTGGAATGCGGATGCTTTATATGACCATGGGTTCGCTGAATTGGAAGGTATGAATAGGGAGATGGAAGGAGCCTTGTGGTAAATTGCTGTGACGAATTTGCTATCAGCTACTTGAATCCTGATGTCTAAGAAATTAATGCTATTACCGCTCTCCTGATCCAACTTTAGCGTTAATCCGTAGCTGTATTAAACATTTTTAACACGTCCCCAATATTAGGATGTTTTCTCCATACAATTAAAATGTCATCGACATATCTGGTGTACAGAGGATGTTATGCTTAATGTTTTTTAATGGCCGTTCCTCCAATTGTCGTAGGACTAATTCACAAAGATCCCCTGAGATGGGGCTACCCATGGGTACTCCATGCTTTTGAATGTAGGTATGTTTGTTAAATCGAATAGCACAGTGATGGGCAAACTACGGCCCGCGCGACATTATTCCCTGAAATGTTCTATCCGGCCCGCGCGACATTATTCCTAATCTGACGAGTAAAAAAGAATACAGGCTGTGGTGGTTGATGCACCACTTAACTTGAGTGTTCGTTGATTATATAAAATAACCGAAGCTTTATATCTCACCATGAAAGTTTATTTACAATCATGTACAAAATTTTGTTTTACACTTATTGAGTAAAAGCTCGATCGGTTACAAGCATGCTTCGGTACAGAACATCCACTCGTTGTGCGTAGCGTAGGCGAAAGAGAGAAAAAGAAATATGGCGGACGGCCTGCACATGTTTTTATAGCACCACATGTTTTCAGATGCAGCGCTAGGTTACAATTATATTGGCCCGCCTAAAGTTTTCTCCCTTTCCTTTGGCCCGCTCTTTAAAAAGTTTGCCCATCACTGGAATAGCATAATAAGTGAGTAAGCTCTAATATCTGCGAGTGGTACGCTTCTGCATCCGGGATAGAACTTAGAAAGTAATCTCTCAATGTGCAGAAGCAAGGTTTCAACCTTATAGACCAGTAGGTTAACCTTTTAATGAGGAGGGACCATTTATCAAACTTTTTGTCTTGCCATGGACCACAAGCTGTTTGGCAGTAATATAGGTTCTTATAAGGTTGTTCTATAAATTAAACACATAGAAAATTATTTGGAACCAAGAGTATTGTATTATTTGCGACAGTGTTACATTAATTATATTATTTTAGTGTGATTTTTGTGACTGCATACTGTTTACCAACTGCTGAATTCTTGGTTCAGTGCTACTCAAAGCAAACGCATGTCGGCACTGGCATCCAACCAATTTCGATGTTTATTTTTAATTATCAAAAGCACTGAGAATCCTTGCTTGCATAAATATGTAGTTGGAAATAAAGTTAGGTACCGTAAAGCAATTTCTCGAATTTTAGGGAAAGCAATAGCTTTTTGGTTCCAAGACTCTTTAAAGTTACTTCCTGTCTCAAATGTATCCTTGCAGTTACTATCATGTTGCATTTCAATTAACTCTTCTTGTATTTCATCCGGCACCTCAGAAATGTTGACTATGAAAGGATTGCAAATCAGTTTCTGAATACCTTTGTCCTTGCAGTCAGGAAATAGCGATTAAATTCATTTTTCAAGCTTTGCAAATGAAATGTAATGTTCTTTTGTATTTGTTCTTTAATCTCGGCACACTGTCAATCAATAATTGGGTTCAATGTATCAAATGCAGAAAAATTCACTCTTTCGACTTTGCTGATCCATAGGTCGATTTTAGCGATAAACGCACTGATTTTATTTTCAAATGCAAATTTATTGCTAGTGCCTTCCAATTTCATATTTCCTGACCACACACCATACCCCAGCCCAATCCGCTATCGGCTGTAACCTTGACATACTGCACATTGTCATCAACTCGTCATATATTTAATAATTTTGGGATAACTTCGCAAACCACTTCAGGTGCTTTCCGGGACCACCAGTGGTCCATGGACCACAGGTTAAGAACCACAGTTATAGACAGAAACGTGGAAACAAAATCGAAGACTGTGAGGTATTCGTCTCCATTTAAACTAATGACTGCCAGTTTAGAGAGAAGGGCACCTGAATTTGAGATCGTGTACGTGTACGAATGTAGGTGGTGCCTTAACATGTGATGTATCCGTTGTTCCAATACGAATGTTGGTGATCTGGCTTTATCGATCACTGGACGTAATTGTTGACATTGTTGACTGGGTTTATGCGTTTTAGCAAAGGCGAACAGACGTGGAGTGTCAGAAGAGCTGACTACCGCATGTCTCAGGCCAAGTGTGTTTGCAAGACCAGTGCATGTAAACTTAGTGACACGACTTTGTAGTTTTGTTATATATGTGGCATCTGAGAGTTGACATTGTGTGTCCACTACGTATTGCTGCAATGTATCGATGTAGGTAGATCTTTTCATGAGCACGACTGCCTTGCTCTTATCAGCCTTGATCATTGTGATGTTCTGTGCTCTGAGCCAATTTCTTCTTCTTTCAATGTATTGCCAAAATGTACCACTTTCTGGTTGGTGTTTATGTTCCTCGATCGCGAATAGCACTTTCCATCCAAGATAGTCTTTGTTGTAATCTGGACATTTATTATTTCCAGAAGATAGCAATTTTTTTCATATTCGTTATAACTGAGACTGGATTATGTGCCGCAGGCTGGGGCATGAACATTGGATCAAATTGGAAGGTTTTATGGAAGTATTCAGGAGGTGCAATGTTGTCCCAGCAAACTATAACATTGTCGATTTGTGGTTTGGGATGTTTCCTTTGCATTTTATTTATCCATGTGATCTTTTTCTCATATCTACGTCTCAATCTACATCGAACGGATGTTTCTAGATCTATGACCGTAGCATTAACATACTTCAGGATGTTGCTGTCCTGTTGATATAATTCCTCCTCTAAGTTAATGAGGAACTTTATTCTATGGTACATAAGACTTCTGGTATTTCTAATTGCTTTTCTAAGGCATAGAAATCGCACTTTTGGCAGAAGTGCGTCACAGCCGTGTGCGTCAGTCACTTATACCTCATAATATACATCATACACAATACATCACAGCTGTTTTCGTTCTTTTAAAAAATTTTAAAGTCAGCTAAGTTCTATTTATAGAACGGTTTTTCCAGTTGGTATTTCCTGAGGAAGGCCNTTGATGTTGGGAACAAGCAGGTTTTTGGCCTGGCCAATCTTATCAAGACGAAATGTTTGTACTAAATAGATTGGTTCAAGCAAAACTGCAGAAAAGGAGAGGAAAATTTTATGCTGTTTTTGTGGACTTTAGATCTGTCTACGATACCATTAATCATAAAGTTTTATGGTTTCTCTTACAGAAAATAGGTATGAATAAACAGTTTCTTGGCCTTTTCATTGATATATATTCCAAAGCTACTGCAAGAGTAAAGATAATAGCTGAAACAACCGATTCATTTGACATTGACATTGGAGTTTTGCAGGGTGAGATTCTGAGCCCACTGCTTTTTAACTTATATGTTAATACAGTCGACCCCCTATAATACGATAGATACGTTCCACTTTATAAGAATTTCACGTTGTAGGAATCCTTAAATACATGAGCCAATCACAGCCCGGCCTGTGTGCAGTTTATGGACTATGACTGTTTGAAAGGTTTTCTTCCATAAAATTAATCGATTCTAGAATAATTTGACTCAACATTTCCAAAACACATATAATTTTTTGGGAATAATTCATATAAACTATGCTATAAACAAAAAATGTAAGATTCTTACAGAGTGCGCACCATTCAACGACGCCATTGCTTAAGTTTGTTTTTGTCGCAGAGCAGCGCACCAAACAGTGGGCACATTTTACATTTTCAGCGCAACAAACTGCGGGCAGAAAAAAGTTATTTTTCTGCGAAAAATTCGTTGAACTTTGGAGACATCATTAATAGAAATAATTTTTATGGCAGTTGAATAAGAAATGTTTTTTTACAAAAAATGTATAAAATTACAGTACTGTATTAGACTTACAATACCTAATTTATATATTGTACAGATGATAGTAAACTCAACTTACCTGCCTAAACTCTTCGTAGTGTGTAAGTAGTTTGGCTGCTCATCCACTATTGGTCCAGATTCGACCAATCCTGTCGCGACACGAGTCAGCGATGACGTTTTACCACATTTTACGAGTCTCTTTTAGTGTCTTTATACGAATACGGTTGCAATTTTTTTGCCATGATATACGAATCCGCATTATATGAACTCGCGTTATGGGGGGTCGACTGTAGTTTGATAGTGCAACTTGCTAAATTTGAATTACTGGGAATTTCTCACTTTGATCAAGTGGACATACATGTGTTAATGTATGCTGACAATACTGCAATTCTTGCCAATACTCCACAAATGTTGCAAAAGAAAATTGCAATTTTAGAGGAATTTGTGACAATGGATTATTTATAAATGTTTTAGAAACTTAAGTAATGGTATTCAAGAAAGGCAGTAGACTATCACTCAGAAAGAGATGGTTTCTTAATAACCAACGTTTACAAGTTGTCTCATATTATAATTATCTGGAAGTTTTATTTTTGTTTTCTTGATAATTTTTACATGCCAAAAATTATAGTATAAGGAAGGCTAAAATGGCACTGTGTTCTATGTGGCTGATTCTTTCAAGAGCTAAAATTAATTTCACTCATATTTATATAAAATTATTTCAATCAATGATATTATTTTTATTACTTTATGCTGCTTCTGTATGAAAACTTTAATTAAAAACTCATGATTTGTTATTAAATAATTGTTGAATATAGTTACAAATATAACTAATCCGGTTATGCCTATGCGGTACCGGAAATGTACGTTTTATATGTACCTAAATAAAAGATTGTGTGTGTGTGTGTGTGTGCTTCTGTATGGGCAATTACTTATTATGATAAAATGGAAATAATTCTTGCTTTATATCTTTGAAAAATTTTTATGTTATATCAAAAAATTCTAGCTTACATCTTCCATTTGGAGTTCTGTATTTCTAGAGTATTGACAATTGTAATAAAAAGAATAATTTTATTTTGGATTAGACTTTTGAAATTGGAGGATAACAGTTACATTAAATTAATGTACAACAAGCTTTATAAATTAGGTTCAAAAATGGACAGTTATACATATAATTGGATGTTGGCACTGAAAAATCTTTTAGATCGACACAGTTTCTCCTTTTTATGGTTGTCTCAGGATCCTCATTTGATTGAAAACTATCAAACATTAATTCTGAAAGTGTGTTGTGAATAAAGCATACAAGGAGATCAGTCACTGCAGGAAAGCATTTTTATTTACTGCATATTTAAACAACCTTTATAAAGATTATTTGTTTATGGACATAAATTATTATGTAAAATGATTAATTCTACAGCTGAGATGTGATCAAAATTATATTTTGACATATAATAGTAGACTAATAATAGATTCTGATAGAATTTGTAGTAACTGTAACATGCAAGTGTATGAAATTTGGGAACATATTTTTTTATTTTATGAAATTTGAAGAAAACAGGAAAAAGTATTTGATGAGATTTAAGTCTTGGAAATATATAATTAGTTTATTGGTAATTGAAATCTCTTGAAATTCATTAAAAATGATTATTTGTCTTCCAAAAAAATGTCACTATTTTAAATTATAATTATGTTAATTATTATCTGAGAATGTAACAATGTACATTAAAACATAGACAAATGATCACCTAAATGTTCCAGGTATAATTCTGCTAATTTTAAAGTGGGAATTTCTCACTTTGATCAAGTGGACATACATGTGTTAATGTATGCTGACAATACTGCAATTCTTGCCAATACTCCACAAATGTTGCAAGTAATAACAAGTAATTTGCTATTAGAGGTAGACGTTAGTCACCATCTCTTAACTAAATTAATAATTATAATTTTAATAATTTATTAAATAATTTAGAATCATCTGGAAGAAAAGAACTGACCCGGGGTGGGGAATAAACCCGCAGCCTCTGCTTGTTGTGCTGTGCACTTGCCAATTGCGCCACCCTGATCTCAAGCAAGCTTTCACGTCCAGATGTATTTAAATTTTAGATACAACCTTATGCAGTTATCTTCCAAATGGTTCTAAATTTTTTAATAAATTATTAAAATTGTAGTTATTAATTTAGTTAAGAGATGGTGCCTAACATTTACCTCTAATAGCAAATTACTTTGTATTAATCTTTAAAATTAGCAGAATATAGCCCAAACATTTATGCAATCTTTGGTGATGTTTCTATATACATATCAGGCTTCGCTGTGTCTGTTATACTTGTACTTTAAAACATTGGAAAATTGTCACATTTACCCATTGCAATTTTTCAATATGTGAATCTGTCACACGGCACACATTCAACTGATACTCAAATTCTTCCTACACTCACTACAGTATATCCATCGTCACTCCTCCCACAGCAGCCCACAGTTCTACATTTCTTTCAGATTACTCATGTTGTACGATGATGAGCGACTCCAGCTCTGCAAACTGCAGACAAAACATCTCTGTTGCAGTGTCTTCATTTTCATTTATAGTGCTTCCTAGAAGTAGTAGACAAGACACTTGAATGAAGATGAAAAATGAAACTTGGACAGTTACACTATCCATCAGTGTAGATTGCTTACTTCTCAGGTAATAATTAACATAATTTTAGTAATTTATAATGGTAGCATTCATTTTGGAAGACCCTGTATTTCTATTAAAGAATATTATGCATTTAAAAGTCTGTTTAAAAAAGGAATTGCCATTTATGCACTTCCAGTGTTCCAGAATACAAACTTTTGACGACCAACCTTTCTTTGAGGCTACTTGGCCATCAAAATTAAAACTTCCTTTAAATACAAAAAATATCCAATTAAAAACACAAGTTTAAAAATCAGAATTGGTGATGCCACAGATTTCTTCTTTCCTTCCACCCTTACCATTTGGGGACGGTAGGATGGGGTCTACTAAAAATAGGTGCTGGTAAATGTAGATTTTCAGCTGCTTCCTGGTGACAAATTATTACAAAACAATTTTAATTGCAGAATTTCATCAGGTGGCAATTAAGGATGGTGAATAAATGGTGATTCCTTTTTTTTTAACAGACTTTATCTTCAATTTTATTTTTGAACTTAATTGCCCTCTGACAGAATTCTACAATATTATGCATTACCAAACATTTTGATAGTTATGCAAAATTTTTTATCATTGTATTATTGTAAATAAAAATCGGAAAAAGCTTAAAACATTCAATTTATCATAAAAACAAATTGATGTTAATTTTATGTTCAAGTTTATTATATTATTATAAATTGCTTTTTTATAAATAATATTTAAATATTATGTTCTTAATGGAAAATAACTGAAATACTGATTATTTTTCAATTAATTTTTATTATTTTATTACTACTTTCAGGATTAAAAGACATTGTTAACATGAATATACACTATATAGTGTTATATATTTTCATATAATTTGGTTATTACATGTATTTCAAAATTTGTCTTTTTAGTCTCTAATTATTCTGATAATTACAGTATTTGAAGACAATATTGTTATACTTTCAAATGATAATTTTAACTTATCTTACTATTTTAATTGATCAAATTCTAAAAAAGTTTTATTTCAAAACTGTTAAGTTTAAATAATTATCTATTATTAATGGAAATAAGCTATTTACCAGAATAATATATCATCATAAAGATATAAGTAAACAATCAAAACTTGTTTTCTTCTAGCCAAACATTTATCAATAACATAACTTACATAAAAGTTTTGATTTTAAAAATTTTAGCTTATAAATAGACAACTTCAGTTATAATTTAAAAATATAACTTGAATTAATTCATATATATATTAAAATATATTTCTAGGTTCTTTCATTTGTTCAACCTCATTTAATATTTTCTGCTCATGAACATATTGTAAGTAATTTTTTTTTCCCCAATTTAACTGAAACATTGTTATAATGAAATGCCTAGCATAAATTTATTATTAAATTTATTTAAATCATGCTAAATGAATATATGCTATTTAAAATAAATGAGAGGAAATGGTAATTAAGAACAAAGATGTTAAAACCTTAATATCCCTATTTCAACATATAACCAATCAAAAACATTTTAATTCTCTAGGAATTATCACATCCACAGACACCATACAGTAATTACTACCTAGTCAATTGTGGATCATAACATGTTGAAACTTCTCTTTCTACAATTTTTATAAGGTGATCATTCCTTATCCTGATGAAATTTACTCTGTAAGATTTATGTTATTTTTCTTCCTTTATAACAACCACTATTTTCCCAACCGCAAGTGAATTTAGTAAGTTTCAGTGGGACATATGCATTTTTTCTTATGGAGTTGCAGGCTTTAAGCCTGCCAAATACTAACATACTCCATAACTGCCAGTACACTAGATACTAAAACAATACATACTAATAATATACAAACTAGTAATATGAAAATATCACTTATGGTAGCTGCTATTTTGTTGTGAATTTGTCTCTTTAATCCAATCAAATCAGATCAAAACGAACTGATTTGATCGGATTAAAGAGAAAAATTCACACACATAGTAATATGAAGTTTAGACCAGAAAAATATTAAAATAGTCTAGTTTGAATGCTCATCATCATGAATATCAGCTTAATTTGGATTGCATAATGGCACAAAGCAGAAAACAAAAAAAGTAAAATTACATTGCAAAAGCATGGAGTTGCATAGCCGGACCTCTCAGGGCAAGGATTGCTCACAACTGGTTTAGAGATACACAGAACAGAAAAGGCAACACAACGACAAGGAGATTTACAGAAAGAGTTAGCAGTGATCTGCAGATTTGGAAGAATGTATGGTTTAAGGAGACAACAAGTAGAGAGTTTAATAGAATATGTACACATGAATAAAATTATGAAAAAAGAGGAAGAGGATGTCCATTCACTATGTGAAACAAAACAATAAAAACTTATATCAAAAGATTGAGAGAGAAATGGGAAAAATATAGCTTTTAAAAGAAACTCAATATTTGGCATGGAATGAGAAAGAGAGACTTAATGATTATAACCAAGGAGGTATATATAAAATTCCAGTTGAAAATGTGCAAAAAGTTTTTAAGCACTATGAGATGAGGTTCAAAAATAAGAATAAAGGAACATAGAAAAGCTAAAGGAAGTATGATTCTTAGCATGATTGCTTATGATAAGGATGTGAAATTAAATTTTGATGGGACAGGACTTAATGGCAATTCATGATTAAATGAACTTATGGATGATGGAAAAAGTTAATTTTTATGAAGAAAGTTTAAGAAGTGAGGTGATTAATATGAGAGATGTGGATAAATTGTCAGGGACATGGAAGTGGATGGTGAGAAAATAGCATCAAGAAGAGTAGAATGTTGAAGAATTTGAGATGAAAGAAAGAATTTTTTGAGCATGCACATTGTCAAGCAGGCTTGAAAAATATTCTGAAGATGCAGAATTTTCAAATAGAAGATAGTGGTGTTGTTGACTCTGAATATGGATCAGTAGGTTTGAAACCACTTAGTAATGTAAGTTAAATATGTTTTACAACTGCAAATAAGCAGAAAACTAGAATTAGGAGTTTACAAAAAAAGATGAACTTTTGAGTTATGTTCTAGTATTTAATTTATCACAACAGAAATGTTTTTGGTCCTATGGGCTATTTTCAGGTAAAACTTACAAATTAAACATTTTATTGAACTAATAGCCTAATTTGAATATATCAATTCAAATTTCAAAAGCCAGCCACTGAAGGCAATTTGATCAATAAAATTATTGTTTTCATCAGAGACAAATGAAAATTTATAAACACACAAATCTTATAATACAGTTGAACCTGTCAATCCCAATCATGTTTATCTCAAAATTTATTTTTCCCCTGCATTTTCAGCCTAAATCCAATATATTTTCCATGTTTATCTCAAATAATTTTCTGTCAAAATCTCTACTTCATATTATGGACCAAAAGTATCAATTACAAATTCATAGCTCAGCAACTACATTTTGATAGTATAAATTATAGTTGAGGAACATTTCTTGCAATACAGTACCAATGCCTCTTTTCTCTGATCAGCTATGAGTTTGGCTTGCATCAATTTGGTTGAAGAAAGTCAGGCATCAGAAACTATTGACAAACTGTTTCTGTTGAGGTATGATAAATACTGAAATTTTATTATATTGAAATATGGTTAAAAAATGCAAGGATAAAAAAAAATTATTGATAACAAAAAAAATTGCTTACATTTTTAAGTAAGAAAATATTTTAAAATACAATTTGTCTATTTGTATTTATATGAAAGCAAATTTCACATTTTCAGAATGTAAATTAAATTAAATTAGAACAAAATTAATCTGTAATAAAAAAAATTATCAAAAATTATCTCAAGCAAACGACTAAAATAACAATATAGTAGTACCAATTAGTTGGAATTCTGTCTCACTAATTGTTATTTCTGCTTAAAGCAATTATTTTCTGGTAAAAGAAGTCTAAATTTTGTGCATGTTGTCTCTTTAATCAAAGTTTTTTTTTATAAAAATCCAGTACTGCGACACAGCATTTCAGTAGGCCTTCAGTCACATCTTTTGTTTAATTCCTTTCTGCTTGTTATCTAATATTTTATTATTCTCTCCAAAGAAAACTGCTATCATTTTTTGTTTTTCTCTATTTTTTCTTGTAAACTTAAAAAGAAATAAACTGTAGAGTAATAACATCAAAACAAAACCAAAACTAAGGATTAAAATTAGTGCTGCCAGTTGAACTAGACATTATTAATTTTAATGTTGCCAGACTGTTTGACATAATAATCATCATTTACTAATAATGAATGATTTATGCATTTATAGATTTCATTATAATGGTATTCATTAAACTAAAATGTTTTTGCATTAAGCTGAATAGGAAATTTGTGTGGGATCCAAGATATATTTGTTATACTGAAAATTTCATTAAACTGGCATTCATTATATTAATATTTCACTGAATAACTAAAGCATCCATAAAAAGTCTGGAACTTACTTTTACAGACAAAACAAAATTGTAGGAATAACCAGAACATATTTAAAACTATGGGTGGTATTAATGTTATGTAAGCTTTTCTTGATTTAATTTTGAAGAATTTCTATTTATCTCAGTTCTTGTTGTTTTATCTTGTCTGTTCCAACTATATCAGACATCATCTTCCAAGCTGACAATAGCCATTCTGCATCCTTATGGTTGAAGCATCATCTTTTATTGGCTGCTTTAAATAGGAAATATATAAAACAAGTAAATTTTAAATAAAGAATATACTGATCCTAAAACAGTACACAATTGAACCTTTATATTAAAAGTAAAATTCCACATAAGTTTAATGCACATAAAACACAATTGTTTTCAATTTACAAAAGGAGATCTTCTTCAGGTTAAAGTGTTCTCAAATGGAATGCAGAAAATGAACATTCTTAAAATTATTTGAAAAATCATAAAACGAAAAAAAAGTTTTTTTTAATAATTTTCTATACTGACTGTTCCTGTTAGAATAAAGATTTCAGGCATAAAATAATTTTTCTTCATTTTTTAAATTGTTGCAATTGCCCCTCTTTTCATATTTGAATATCTTAACAGCTTCTAGTGTCCTGATTTGGTCGTCATGCTTATGAACAACTAAATATAGGATCCTCTTGTAGGTCATTAGCACATAGATTGAAAGAACAGAAATGTTCTATTGAGAAAAGGAAATTAATGACTGTACTAGACATGTTTGAAATAGAGCCAGGAATGTAAGTACATTTAGATGGCTTAGATGATCCATACCAACTTTAGAAATAAACACATTAGGACTCTTGAGGCATCAGAAACATTTAAAGCAGATAAAGTAGAATCTTATTTTAAAGGATTGCAAATTAACAGATTTTTTTTCCAGGTCCCATGAAATCAATATTTTATCTCTTTTTAGCAAATCCAAAACTCAGAATAATGGATTTTTTTTTTCTAGATTCATCTCTTGTAAACTTTGCATTTTTTCAACATTTACTTGGGTGTTTCCAGGAATTTGTAGAGTTATATGATGCATTTGTTGCATCTGGGATATGTACAATTAAAGAATCACATGAAAAGTGTCAGCAGGCCAATAGGATTGAGGAGGAGCCATTCTGATGCTGGTCCAAGTGTAGTGCCAAAATTTAGTGAGGCCATCATCTTTCCAAGTCATGAAGACCTCTCCCTGATGAGTTTCGGCATAAACAGACTGTACATGACATCGCTAATATCAAGCAGTTGTGTTCAGTAGGCAGAAAAGCAGCACAAAAACAAAGATGGACAAATTTTTTAACAAATTGCAAAGTTGAGTGGAGTGCTAATGAGCATATGTAATTTGCCTATTTGTGTTTACAGTATATATAGTTTCTTGACAGCTTTATCATACATATGTATGGTGTAGTATATAATCTTGTAACATAAGTATTTCCATAGAATAAAGAGTAGAGATCTCAAGAAACTGAATAATTTAAAGTACTGATATTTCTTATTTGTAATGGGGTCAAAAACAGAAATTTTTTCAAATAATGGATATTTTCCTGGATATGCAGGAAATTTGTTCTTCACAATATAAAGGATTCTTGGAACAAAGATGAATTTCAGTGGCTCAAGCAGTCTGTTAAAATGAGATTCTATGGTAGTAATGAAAATATATCTACAGTATATTTTCATTAATCCTTTAACTTTTTCATTTTTTTATTTTGTGCATGAATAATGATCTGTATAATCTTGTCAGTGAATCCATTTCAACTGCACTTGGCCTGTTTTTGTTATTCCCTATATTTTAGCTTTATATGGTAATGCCTACTAGACTTCTCACTGTGGTGTTATGAATATTCTATTTACTTTGAGTTTTTGGCATGCCACTATACTTTATAAAGTCTCTTAA